AAAACTGTCCTGTACTTAATTTTTAAAAGCAGGACATGGGTGAAATTCCATGGGTTAGGAAGTATAAACAACATGGAAATAAAAATTTTAATATCCCACCTCTCGGGTTTATAGTCAAAGAATATAAACAATTTAATAACATCCCAGAAGCTCTGAATCATTTCCCAGCTGCTAAATGAAAGCCAGGGGAGCTGGGGAAGGCGAATTATCAGCTTTTCAACTGCAAAGCCAGTTAGTGACAAGCCTTTTCCTTCACTTAGGAGTGCAGCATGAACCACAACATGCTACATAGTTTTACCATCTCAAATGCTCTAGCCTGTCACAAGCCTACATCTTATCCCATAAGGCTAGCTTTGCTCTTCATTTACTGACTTAGCTGAGAGAGTAAAAAAGTGCATCCAGGCAGCTCCCTAGTGACTGAATAGCTGAAAAATGTCAGGAGGAAAAGAAAAAAAAAATCACATACTTCAACAGTTATTTTTAACACGACCTGGTAAAATTGGTTCCAGATCTCACCAATACTTTAAATGTTACAAATCACAAAAATCTTGCTTCAAAATGTCCACTCCTGGCTTTAGTCTTTCTGAAGACCCATTATTACAAATGCAGGACTATGCAGAAGAGGAAATAAGCATTTTCCATCAAAACTTGTCCTCTCTTTGAAAATCATCCCTGAAAAAATACAGCTCAAAACAACTTGAAGATAACTGAAATGGCGGTGAGCAGAGACTGTTGCCTACTGTGCTGAACAATACTAATTCATTATTTCTTTGTAATTCTAAATGCCTGTATCCAAATGCCTCCTCTATGTACTTCAGAGAAGGGACTCTTCTGTGGATGTAAAGGGGCTAGCGCAATTGCTTCTCTCATGTGATTAGCAATCCCTAATGGTAATTGAAAACAGTGGTTGAAAATATGAATAACAAGAAGCTTATTACATTTCTTGATGAACGCAGGGCAGACCAGTGGGAAAACATCCTATTAAGAGGCACATGCGTTCTGGTAAAGAACAAATGAGAAGTGGGCTATACACATAACTGGAGAGGAAAAAAAGGTAGAAATTAATCTAGCACTTCTCTTCCATGACACCACAGTGCTGAACCTTTCAAAGCTGTAATATCTCAAAACCACACACCTTGTAGATGGGTTTGCTTGGCCTATTTACTCTGCTCAATTAAAAAAAAAAAAAGTGGCACACTGTCACCTTAGCAACAGCCAGAGCAGACCTGGCAGATGAACTGCTGCATTTTCTTAGAGAAATACAAAGAGATACACTTGGCAAACTTTGGTACTCTTTTCTGAAGTACTTGCTATATGAACCCACAAACATTAGATGAATGGTGCTGCCAAAAAGCATTCTTTGGTTGCCCAGAGCTGGGACGCAGGAGTAAAGAATAAAAGAACTGAGATGCAGCATGGCCCAGCGAACCCACCACCCAGGCCTTTGAGCTGGCGAAGCATTACGTCTCCCACAATAACTGGTGATATTTGCTTAGTGAAAAGTACTCAAAATGAAGCGTGCAAAGATTGTCATACAGTACCCTATCAGATTTTGCTTCCAGCTTTGTTGGGGATGGTCTCCTCCCCCAGGTCAAGGGTTCCTATATACTTTTGCACTGGTGCAAGGTCCTGCAGTTTGTTCAGCTGCTGTCCCCAGAGCAAGCAGTGCAGGCATCTGTACTTAATTCACCTGCCAAATCTTTCCTATCCTTTTCTTTGGCCTGCCTGAGGAAAACGTTTGTCCAGTGGAGTTCATCCAGAGATTTACCAAACAGAATGGATTATTCATTTATTAAACACTGAAACCTGAGCCCCAATAGTACCTCAGAACAAAACCTCTGCAAAACTAAATTAGCCTATAATCCTTCTGGTTTAGATAAACTCTGCTTCATAGGAACAGGGGCTTCAGATGCAGCAGCTGTAGATAAAGGAGACTCTTTGCTTTTTAATTTAGGATTGCTTATTTTGTATTACATCAGCACCTAACAGAACCACTAGAGTGCTTTTTGTGCTAGAAATGGTATCACTTTCTGAATCTTTTCCCCAAAGAACTTAAAATGACCAAGTATCGGGGTTCTTTAATATCTCTTCCCAATTATCTTATTTTCTTCAAATGCTTTCAATTATGTTACACACCCCCTGACTGACAGCCTTTAACATGAAAGCAATTCTATTTCACTTAAATTCTTTTATGTAAATGTTATTGTTGCTCTTGCACTGTCTGACCAAATTGACCACACAAAACACAAATACTGTTACTTGTGAAGCTGCATCAAAATAATTTGCCTTGGAAGCAGAAAAGAGGGAGAAAGACAGTCCTGTCTCCTGAACTTTTGTGTCTTTCCTGGAATGAAAATACATCTTTGTACCAACAAACTACTCGTGTTGAAATATAATTGCAATCCCCACATGTTCTGGACAGCTTTGGTCAGTAAGACCAGAATTAACATGACAAACTGTAGATGGCATACAACTAAAAATTACCTATACAAACAGCTAATTTAATAAAAATGAAGATCTAAAGCTTTGACTTGTTACCTTTATTTATAAAAAGCACAGCAGTTGCAAAAGGTTGATAATAGGTCAAAACCAAACTTTTAGATGAGAAATACTTTACCTTAAGCCTTGTCTTGTGAACCTACTTGCCAAATAATTACTCTTACTGGGCAAATAACTGAGTTACTGCCCAAAAACAGAGAAGATGGCAGCATATTCACCAGCCCATTACCAAAAAGTGTGAGCTGGGAGGGTGGAGGTACACACATGGGGTAACAAATCGACTTCAAAATCCTTTTACTATCATGGAAAAAGTTGGTTGAATGGATTTTGCCTCCCAATTGTTTCAAGAATTATGCCTGCCAGCAGGAAACTAGAAATATTTTAACAACAAAATTTAGGAAAAAGCCGGACTAAATTTTTTCTCAAACACACATACACAGAGCAGGCAGGAAACAGACAGCAAGCTCCCTGCTAGTCACTTCAGCTCAGAAGGCAGACATTAAGAATACTGTCTGATCCAACTCTTGTTGAAATCAACAAAAGTCCTCCACTGAAGACCACGGGAGATGGAAAATAAGCTTTTCCATGCTTCAGCCAGAATGTGTGATCAAAGAGAAAGTGACAACTTTCTTCCCCTCTGATTTTCATGGTGATTAAAGATCCAGATAACAAAATATGATTAGTCACCTCTGAATTTTTGGCCTATTTGGGATAAATAAAGCTCACACTTATGTGTGAATCAGGGAGACAGACATCATCCTATCGTTTTATGAGAGAGAACTGCTAGTATTTGTGCTTGAATAAGCATTACGAAAAAAGGTTAGAGTGGGGAGACAGAGTACTGAAAAAGCATGCTGTGAAATTCCTATTGATAGAACTTAAAATTGTTATTTTGCATTAGCAAAAAAGAAAGAAAAAGTAACTCATAGCAGGTTTCATCTTTTATCATTTGGTTAAACTGAAATTCAACTGGTTTATGATAAACATCTAGAAAGGTTGGGACACTCACTAGAGCATCTACTGTCTTTAAAATCAAAGAGATGTCTCATAGAATTAGCTCTCAAGTACTTCCTTGGCATCAGTTTACAGTAAGAGTTCAATCATTTCTGCAGCCCCAGTTGTAATGACATTCTTCATCACAAACTCATTGGGTTGGAAAGACCCATTCACACTGGCCAAACCACGTTTACAAATTCTGTTCTCATTTTGCCTTGCACTTTAAGAGCCATGCGTAAAGTCATAAATGTTAGTGCTCATGAGTTTGGCCATGAACATCCAATCAGTTTAATTTATATATTGTTTCTAAACGTAGTTCCAGGAAGAGCAGGAATTTGTCAATGAAAAGAGCTATACTGTCCCAGTGAGAACTCCAGGGTCTTTTTGTTAAAACCTCTGAAAAGAGGTTTTCATCATGGTATGAAATGCATGGCATATTGAAGGCCCAGTGAAGCAGAAGGCAGTGAAAAATATATTAGCATGCTCATTCTGAATAGTTTAGGTGACAGGAAGCATTACAGCTGGAAGTGAAATCCTGTGCCAATGCAACCATACTACTTCTGATACTGAACTTCAGTGCTGTGCAGTGATAAGCCAACTCATGACTTGTGCTATTTAGACATATCCCTATGATGTCCGTCTTTCCCCTCAGGCATTTCTAATTTTTTTTTTTCCTTCCCTCTGGACTGGTCTTCTGGGAGTTAATTTGGTCCTTCCCCTCCCTTCTGCCCTTCCAGCTCACCCTGAACAAATCCTCATAGGTCTCAAAAGGGACTAGATTCATAAAGAAGTATAACGTCCATTTTTGTTTGCCTGGGAATAGGAAACTCTCCTGTCTGATTTCCTTTGCATTCTCCACGAAATCTACCACAGAGATGAAGACAAGATCACCTCAACAGGAGTCATTACAGCAGTGCCACTGTTTTTGCACCTAAGAACTAATCTTCTCACTAAAAAGCTAGTTTAAGTTAAAAATGATTAGCTGACAGGGTTTTGAAATCTTATGGGAGACTTATCAGCCAAAGCTGATATTTTCTTCTTAAGGAAACAGGCTCAAGCAATCATACTCTGTCATTGTCCTCTCTTTCCCCAGCCAAGTAACTTTTGAAGTGTTGGCCAACTTCAACAAAACTGACAGAAGGGTAGAGATTTCAAAGATAACTAGGCTTCGATGAACTTTATGAATACAAGCAACTGCATAAAAAAGACAGGAAAGAGTTCACACATAAGCCTATCATATGGTTAAACATTACAGAATCCACATCGGAATGAACAACAGGAAACAAGACTTCATAAATGCTACCATTCATGGAACAGCTATTGACTTTCTTTACTTTTTCTTCCTCATGCTACTGGTAATAAACAGAAAGATAGAAGGACCCAGGACTTCTCCCCAAAACAAAACTTGTAGTTTTCTCCCTTACAACATTAGGCTGATATTAATAAATAGTAACAACGGGAATTTCACCTTTTTCCATTTTTTAAATTCTCAAAATTATACTCACTGCTCGTAGAGGACATACGGCTGTACTCAGACCTGCAAGACAAAGATTTTGGTTAAACAGGGCTAGGTATCTAAAAGAGACAATAAAAATGTATCAAATCTAAAAATAGTTTAAAGCCCACTTAGTATTAATTTTACACTAAGATAATAACTGGAAAACATTTTGAACATGGCCTCAGAAAAACTGGCACCTTGCAGAAATGATAAAAGCATCTACACAGACTGAGTGAAGCAAGAGGTTTTAATTAGGGATGGGAGTTGCTATTTATACCACTCAACTTTGGGCAAAAAATTAGAGCTCAAAAGGCTCTCTACAAGGGAAAAAAAATAAACTGCTTCAGACACAGGTTTAGAGTCAAAGCCTGCCAGATTTTGACCCCCTTCTCCATCTTCTTCATCTTTTATCCTCTAAAAGCAGCTTTGCAGCTAATCTCTTTTAAGGCAACTCTTTATATAGAGTAGGATTTTTATTGTCCTTTGGACACAACTGGTAGGGAAGACAGAAAATAGGTACCGAAATATGAGCATTTAGGTTAGGAAGAATTTTGCTTTAGGAAATCCTCTTCCTCCTCAGATCATCTCAGCAAAACTATAGGCCAAAGATTCTACTTCAGTGCATACTCGATTATCCATTATAATGTTAAGCATTTTGAGCGATACTGCACTTTATTTTGCAGGTTCATATTACCCTAAACTTCTGGAAACCCAATTCTGGGCTAATTAAACTCACAAACATGGCCCATTTAAGTCCTAAAGATTCAGAAATACTAAGGTAAGAAAAATATGCCAACACTGAATGATTTTTTTTTATTCATTTCCATTTGTGAGGCCATACATATGATTTCTGAGCGCTGGTGTTGGAATTCACAGCCACACATCATCAACTCCACTATTCTCTAGGTCCCCCAAACAGAACCCCACTCTCCAGAACTCTTTGCTACAATTAACTTCTTGCATACTTATATGCCCTGCAGTGCCCTGAACAGAAAAGGCAAACTGTTCAGGGAGGCATAACACAGTTCTTGGATCCAAATCTAAATGCTTGTTTTATATAAAACAATTGCAACAAGTTTGCAATATTGCTTTAAATTTAAAAAAAAAAGTGAACTTGGACTCCTATGGCATTTGTCTGGAAACAAATACCATCTAGGCGTCTTCTCAGGATACCTTCATACCTCATGCTTGCTGGCATCCAAGGGAATAAAGGCCATCAACCCCTGTATTCATCATGACTACTTCGGGTTTTAATAGGGACATATCTCTGCAGAAGGAGCAAAGCAATTACTGTCGTCCCTGTATTTCATAACCCTCTATTTGGCACGCTGCCTCCTGCAGGTCTGATGCCAAAGACTGCTTGTTCAGGTGAGAAAGAGGACAAGGCATTGCCCCCAATTCTTCTTGCCATCCAGCTTGATCAGTCAGAGGTGGGATAATTTGAATTTTTAACAACACTAATGGCAAAAGATACCCCCCAATACCACCAAGTACTATGAGGCTACCAAAGCTTTTGAAAGAGGTCTGTGCAGCGTGGGGGAGGAGAGCTGCTAACAGGAGCTTGCAGCTCAGTGTTGCTCTCTTCCCTTTACTAACCCCCTGCACCCCAGTCACTGGTAAAGATATTTCTTGGCTTCCTGACATTATGTTACACGTGGCAGAAACTACAGAATCAGGTGGTCAGGAGTCCCTCTCATTCAACCTGTATATATACACCCTGCTACATAGAACCTTCCCTGTGAATCAAACGTTATCGCTCAACTACATGTCCCCCAGGACCCTTGCGCAGCTGGGAAAGGGCAGGAAGGGAGAACATCCCTCGTCTCCAGCCCTCCCCTTCCCACTTGTACCAGTGGAAAGGCCATGTACATCAACCCAGTCCAGTTCTGAATAGCGACCAAGGGAAAGGGATGTTGGGGGCTAGCTAGGTACTGTGGTGCAGGCCATAAAACTGCATGGTATTTCCATCAGCTAGTCATGTTGGTATGATTTGGCATCCCGTATATTTGGACTAGAGATACAACTGTAACATGTCACCCTTCACAAACTCGGAGGCAAGCAATATACATCCAGCTGCCTCCAAGCATCTCAAGCAAGGATTCAGTTAGTCTGCTCTTCTGTTTGAAAATAGCCTGAGGCTGTCCTTCAGTGTATCTGTGTTCAGCAGTTGGTGGCTAATTTAATATAAATACACACTGCTTAGATTTTAGATAGAAGCGAGACAACATTTTGTCTTTTGCTTATTGTGAGTAAAAGCAGCCTTCTATTACCTCACACTGCTATTTTATTTTCCCCAGAGTGCTGCAGGCACATTATAGGGCACTGAGAATTAATGAGTCCTGAACCAAGGAACTGACATTCTACATACAGGTAGGACATGAAAAATGAGACACGAGGAAAAATAAAAAGAAGGGGAGTGAGAAAGGAGGATACAACAGTGTGCTCAGAGACTAATTGCAGACACATTTTAATAGGCTTTAGAATTGCACTGGGGTTTTTTTGGTAATTCTAATATGGTTCAACCTAATATTTAATTCATGTTTGTAGCATAACTGACATGTACAGAATTAAAAAAAAAAGATAATTAAGTTCAAAGGCTTATGTTAACCTTGGATGCCTAAATGAGGCTTGTACTCTACCTAAGCTACCACTACAGTCAATAGCAAGGGAAGTATGAAGTGCTTCTCTCCCCATTGTCTGGAGAGGAAACCTACAGAAGGTACACTCCTAATCTGGGACTCTCGGCTACATGCCTAAAATCCAATGGCATGAATATGCATGTCTCTATGTATTCTCAGTGGAAACCTGAATCACCTCTAGCTCTCTCTCCAATTAATTTCTTTCCTTGAACTTTGAGTTGAATCTAGTCCTTAAAGCAAAAATGATAGTGTTAATAAAATCCTTGACACTTTCAAAATATTAGCTATTAATCATTCAGATTCATGACCTGCAGTGGTAAGTTGCTTACAAAATAAAAAAAGAACCTTTTTTACTTTTTTCTTATAGTCAACTATTTAGGATATTGGATTCTTAAGGTCCTGTAAGTCGTATAAGCTTTTCAGAGTTCTGTACCCAATAAACATTCCATTTGACGTGGTTATGTATTAGAAAAATTAAATATAGAAATAAACATCTCCAAGGTCATGAAGACCCTCTGGTCATCAAGCAATTCTGTTCCTTCCAATTCTTTCCATCTGCTTTAAACATCCTGAGTATACACTTCTATCAGTCCCCTTGGTAGATGATTCTCTCATTAAGATAATTCAACAGTAAAGCACTTAGCGACCTTAATGGTGAAAGGCTGGGGCCATATTGCTCAGAAGTTCCAGGGCAATTACTTGGTTTTGCAGCAAGCTACCTCCTCTGTGCAACTGATAGATACTACTTTATAGAGAAAAGGAAAGAGACGTTCAGGATAAAATCTGAACTAATGAAGGACTGTTCCCTTTATAGGCATATAATGAGGAAAAAATGATCAAAAAGGGTATCGAAGCAGTGGGAGGTATTGAAAAGAGGGCTCACTGCTGAGTCAAAAGACACTTCAGTCTGCAAAGTATTCATGCTCAAGGGTCAGCCCACCAGCAAAGACTAGTTGTGAACATGTCAAGAAACATTAAAATAGAAATGTAGAAGTTTGAGAGATGTGGGACCTAGGCTCCCACTGGAGTTATTGAAGGATCAAGGCAGTGCATTATTGTAGGGCATTAGACCATATAAGCGCAAGAGAACCAGAGCAGGTCTCTGAGATCATCACACTCTACTCACTCCCGATTAGCAATACAGAGCTTCAGAATATCTAAGAGAAAATACACCAATGAGTACTAGCAAGTAGCAGCTAGCACAACTTGCAGTTATTGAATAAGATATCTAAAAAAACTGTAAACCTCTGCTTCTTTGCTCCAGAAGCACTGCTTTCTTACGTCTCTTCGAATCACAGAAGCAATATAGCTACATTGTGATGGTTCTGTGCTTGGGTTACTTAGGCCTGCTGATCAATCACGACCCAGCATCACATTAACATGGCTATAGTGGTGACATCTATGCTAATAAATAAATGTGCCAAAGAAAATTTTCCGGGACTAAGGCCAATTGCCATGAAACAGCCTGTGCCATTAAAACCTCCTGCCTTCCTAAAGAGTAGTAGTTGCATCCAAATGGCCTCCTGGGAATAATCCCTCGCCCATGGTAACATGGGAAAACAAGTCCCTGGCCCATGCTAAAACACACCCAGGAATCATGTGGGACAGGGCTATAGTGGGCCTGCCCAAACTGATGCCATGAACCCTTTAAGTGTTCAGAAATAAGGACAACTCTATTGCAGTGGTCAGGAACTCTCCCGAGTGGTGTTTAACATACTGGTATAGATATAACTAGAGTTTCTGAGCCAAAGAACATCTCCACAAGGCACACTACTGTGTAAAATGAACATATGTCTTTCAAGTTATTTCTAACACAATACTCCACGACAATATGCCCAGGGTCACCGTTGCCAGAACTCTTTAATCCCCTGGCAAAATGAAATTCTATATGGTTCATTACTTCTTCTGTTGTCTGCAACCTTAGCTTGCCTAGAACTGATGGTATGGCACCTGCTGTAGTCACACTTTTTCACTGCCTTTTCTACCTAGGAAATAATTGTTTCATATGAGTTGCATTTAACAGCTTCTTTAACTTCCATCCCCAGGAAAGTGTTCTACAGGGCACATAGGAGGATTTTAGAGCAGTTAAGCAGAACGTGTGAGTCAGGAGATTTAAGTGTGTGATTCTGTCATGGGTTTTTTCTCATCATATTCCTGTGGGCTGGATTACAATCTGTTTCACTGATATAAATCCAAAGCAAATCCATTACCTTCATCACACTTCTACTTCTGTAATCAAGACTACTGCAATGGAATAACTTAGAGCAACTTGTCTCAAAATGAGTTGTTCTGGATTTCTAGTAGAGTGAGTGAGCAAATTCAAGAGGATGGAGTCCCATGCCTCAATTGTAAATTCCATACTAGGGAGATTATTAGCAAAAACAGTGTTTGACGCCCTAAGCAAGATACGTTATCATCCCCATGATGAGGATCATGAAGAAGCGTCATTTACAGTCTTCCAAAATGTGATCAAGCAGGTGAGTGTGTTAGTATACCTGCCTTTGCACCTCATTCACTAGTCGGCCACACAGCATTGTCGAGAGGGATGCATCAGGACTCAGCTAACATGTACCAGGGCATCCAAAGCATTTGGTAACCCTTGCCATCCTCCCGTGGTCCTGGAGCTTTTAGCTCCAGAGCAGAAGAAGCTTAAATGATTCACCACTACCAAATGCTCAACTTTCCCACAGCTAGCAGAGGTGAAGCTCCCTCTCTGCTGGAACAGAGCCACCACAAATATCAGCACAGATCTCCTTGGCCAGCAGAACGTGCTTTAAAGCCTACCTACCTGTTGCTTTTAGTGACTAGCCCTAGTGCAACACACTAACAGGTCTTCTGCTAGAGATTCAATCAAATAGTTACACTCCACCAATCACATCTGTTTAGAAACAGTGCCCCAAGCTCAATTTGTAACAAAAAGCTCAATTTTATATTATTTGGATGTCAAATCACAGACAAATTGTATACCTTGACATGTCCAGAGTGACTGATATGCAGAAAGTTAATGTCTCAGCAAAAAAGAAGAAACCCCAAGGTAAAAAAATAGACTTTGAATAGGTTTCAGTAGCAGTGATTTGTGTTCCTGAGTTTCACATAAATTGATGCAATGTGTGACAAGAGATGCCTCAAACTGAAGGACTATCACACAGATGACAGTCATAAACGTTTAAACCCTTTAAGCTAGAAGGATGGAACAATGGCATGAAAACAAACAAAAAAAAAAGGCTGTTTCGTATTTTCAACAGCCAATTCTGACTGAGGACACAATGAATTACAATACTGTTAATACTTTTAAGTGGATACACCCTCTTTTCTATAGGCTACTTTGACTTCAGTTAACAACTGCATTTTTCTGTTTTAAAACCTCACAGCTTACAGAGCTGCAACAAAGAAAGGATTTTTTTTTTTTTTAACCTTTTTAACAGATAAATGAACAGAGGCTGAAATAGTTCTGCTAATTTATTGAGGGTCTCACTGGCAGCTACAGCACAGTCAAGAAATTAACATAAGCTCTGTAGAAATTAACTTTGGGAATTTACAACCACAGGAGGAAGGGAAAGGGATGGAACAAAACCCCCAAATAATAACTGCAAACAAATATTGAGCAAATTCCATTCCTATATGTTTAAAATTAACTGCTGCACAGTGCACAGCATCCTAAGCATTAAATACCTTTTGACTGTCGACTTTGAAACGGATCTCTCCACATAGTCGAGCTATTCCTTGGTAGTTGTGGGCTACCAAATACATACTACAATTTGCCTTCTTCCTAAAATGTGTAAATTACTCAGCAATCAACTACTAGTGAATTCAGTTTGCATCATAAGTAAAACCTCTATTTTACATTTCTAACTTATACAGAAAAAGGGTACTTCAATGGTGTTCTCCCCACTTCTTCTAAAAAAAATTAATGAGTTGTTTGAAAAAAGCAGAAAAGCTCTTTTAAGTTGCAATTCAAGAGAAAGGTAGAAGTTAGCGTCTAATAATTTTGGACAGCTAACGAAGGAAGGGAAAAATTAGATGCTTGGTAACTTTGGCATTACTAGTAAGCTAATGATTGAAGTGTTAGCTCTTAAAGGCATTGGCTCTTACAGCTGTATAAGGGAACAAGTGAGGCTCTGTTGGGAATTGTCACATGTATCAAAATCTCCATTAATGACAGCTATCTCACTGAAGCGTTACGCTCAGTTAAGGCATATACACTTGATAGATAGGAAAGAGCATGCCTATAGAAAAAAATCCTGAAATGCAGGTAGGTGGACCTAATTTAGGAATTAAATTTTAAGGCTTTAGGTGTTAGAAACTACATGATTTTCACACTGATTATGCTTCACTCTGGATCTCAATTGCGAATACAATGAATTCAACTGACACTTCACCACTGACATCAGTGGCAGCAAGAATGTGTCCCCGTGCTTTAAAATTATATGCCTAACCACCTCTAAACTTTTTTTAAAGCTTATGTCAGTTTAGGTATTTCAGCCTCAGAGATAAGGAATGACACAGAAAACTGCTTTGCTATTCAGAGTAGGGATAGTAAATTGATATTTGCATGGCTTGTGCATTTTCAAGATGTCTTGTTTTACATTTCTACATCTCATTCTCTTTAGCAGTTTAGTATTAGATTTTTAGCATTTTTCATTATATTTTAACTACAATTCTTTAAACATGTATTTCTCCTCCCTTAAAATTCTTTCTTTCATGTTTTTTCCTGTTTGCTTTCTAATCAAAGAAAAAAAAAGAGATGAAGTTCTTTCTAAAAATTCAGGTTCTATGGTACAAAATCACTGATTAAATCATTACCACAGAAAATTGTCTGTGGCCCATAGTTCTTAGCTGGAAGATTTCAGTAACAGATGAAATTAAGTTTTCATACTAAAAAGCTGAAATATAAATTTTCCAAGAAAATACACTATGTACAGGCAAAGTATCTAAGACCAAGGATGGTGAAACTCTTTCAGATCTCATTAATGAGGAGCCAATATAAACTAATTGGTTTGTGTGTGTTATTTCCTTTATTTAGGTTCTTGACAACAACACCTCAATCCATTCTTATTGGATTCCGTAACTTAAAATATACTATTTTTGTTTCTGCAGCTTCTTTGCCATTCCTATCTACTGAGGCAAATGCAGTAATATAAAGATACTTTCTAATGGATTGGTAAAATGAGGATTTAAAACTGTAACTGATCTTTCCTGTAGCACAGAGTTTTGCCTGCTCTGTAGCTGGAAGCCATAGCAAAAGCCATAGCAAAACGTGAAGAAACATATGCCATCTAGAACATTTAATGTATTAGATTTATTAGTTGCTATAAATGGTTTCAGCACTACAGATTCCATAAGAGCTCACACATCCTCGTATACCATCATCAAGGTGACAATGGCTTGCAGCGCCTGGATTTACTCTACAGTCACTATACAATACTGTTCTTTGAGTGACAGAAAGAGACCACTTGATGTGAAACTGTTACTGAATTACTTTGACAGTTGTCTCTCCTAATACATAGGACATTCATAGGATGATGGCTGAACTTAAAAACCTTTTTTTTTTTTTTTTAATATTTGAGTAATTGGAGAACAAGGACAGTTCAATTTGGCAATAGCTATTATAGGACTTAGATAAAGTAAAAGGCAGATCTTCACTAAGAAGAAAAGGCAAGCACTGTGAACAGTTGGCTTGGTGAGAAAACTGAAATATAAACATTGTGAAAGGGACATACGTGTCATGTTTATCAGACTAAATGAACTAGATGAACTAAAAATAGCTGCTAAATAGAACAAAAAATAAAACTGAAATGCAGAGGTCTGTTTTTTTCCCCCCCAAAATAAAATTCAGTGAAAAGCACTGCACTTATTAATTACCATATGCCACGATTAAAATTCCTCCAACAGCCTCTACTGTTAAACTCTGCCTTCCAGTGTCAAGCCTGCAACAAAGATGCTTCATAAAATCATCAGCTTTAACACCTCATCAGCGCCAGACATGAGCAGCTGTCCTGCTGATCACTAAGGTCTAAAGGCTAATGTTATCATCTGGGTCAAATCCTTCCAAGTGCCCCTCCCAACAAAATGCAGGTTTTTCTATTCTGGATAAGCTCAACAAATTAAGAGTGACTTGACCCATCAGGGATTTCTTGAGCTTTCAACTAGCCATGAATTCACCAATTATGCTGTCTTAATCTTATCCACATTCCCCAAAGATGAACTAAAAAACTGTTGTCCCAAGGACTAGGAAGGTGGCCTGCATTTTTTCCTTTATGCTGATGCCACATAAAATATTTTAAAACTTTCACCATACTGCAATACTGCAACAATTTATAGTGAAAGGAAAAGAGTCCACAACTTCTCTGATGACAGAGGAGTTCAAAACCAAAAATTTTGATTTAAATGAATAGTTGGATGTACGAAAAAAGATTGCAATATTCCATTTTCATCCAAAACTTTTAAAAAAAGATTATAATATTGCTACTTTAATTTGGGTACAGTGCCACCACTTCACAATCAAGAATTAGCTTTACAGTTCCTTTATGCTCTCAGTCTCATACTTAAGCACAGTGCCCTGACACAAACAGTAAGCACTTTTATTTACTTGCATCAGTTTGAGATTAGGGTGCTCCCTTTTCTCTGAATCTCAGCATGTGCTTTTACAGCAGCAAGGCAGACAGGGTCAAAGAAAAAACAGGAACGCTGTCCAACCCCGTTTGTGTGTTACACCCTCACACCCATGAGGCGGTCAGACTCAAGACCAAGGGAGAAAGACCAGGCGAGGAGCCAGGAGGAACACGGCTGAGAAAGCTAGGATGGAGGAAAATGAAGACCTAGGAGAGAACAGAGCAAAGCGAACAGGCAACCTCATTTTGTCCCTCTGGATCCAAAGAATGAGCAAGGGCTCACCACCGTTCCTGACAAGACAACACGGCAACAGCATGTAAAATGGGCCGGAAAGAGCCTCCCTCTCTCCACCACAGAGACAGGTTGGAGTTGGGATCTGCAGCAGTCAGAACTGGGGATCCCATGACTCATCCTTGCAGCCCCATGATATTAGGGCAAGTCATCTAACTTTCAAACACACTGTACCTCTGGCAGCTGGGGCACAGAGCCAGATAAAACTCTCCTTGACTCTTGTATGACACAGGTTGAACTGTCACTCTCCATGCCTCTTATACACTTACAGGTTGGACAACTACCAAAAGAGCTTATGGCACTTCACAGGTCAGTATGGTGAGAATCACGAGAGCAGCAACCCAGTTCCGGGGTGCTACCAACCTAACCTGCCTCTGTGGCGCTCCGATGGTCCCTCCAAGGACTCAGCCTGTCTGCCTGATGCTGGCAAGGTTTCTGCCACAAGGGCTGATGGGAGATGGTGGCAGGCTAGGACAGGCACCTTCCCAGCCATCCTTAACACGGATTATCAGGGGACACAGAGGGATGGGGCAGAACCAAACCCTGAGCACCACACTCTGGCACCTGCTGATGGCCCATGAAGCACAGCACCAGGCCCCACCGGTGAAGTCGCAGGAGTTGGTTTGGGGCTCACGCTTGAAACACAGCACCGCGACACCTTCGCATCTTGGTCCCCACGTGTAAGACGAGGACGATGGGGAGCTCTTCCCTAACTCGACCACAGGAGAGGGCGGACCACCGGGGCCTTTAAAACACGGCAATCCTCCGAGGTAGGAGCGCTCCCTGCTCCCCAGGGGACCGCAGCGGCCGGGAGGGCTCCGCCGCAGCCACCTCGGGGCCCCCCAACCCCACGCTAGCCCGCGGCCTCTCACCTACCCACAGCAAGCGCGGGTGGGTTAAAACATGACAGTTAGCCAGAAAACTACACGCGAGGGGTGCTGCCCGGCAGGCAGGGAGGGAAAAATCCCACTGCTGGCTGCCGCAACGCGGG